GTATTTCGTCTGTTTCTATTCCTAAAACCACAGGTGAAGCACTATCTCATCCGGGTTGGCGTCAGGCGATGATTGATGAAATGCAAGCACTTCACTCCAATGGCACCTGGGATCTTGTTCCTGCTCTTCCCGGAAAGTCAGTAGTCGGCTGTCGATGGGTATTCACTGTCAAAGTTGGTCCTGATGGCACTGTTGATCGCCTCAAAGCTCGTTTGGTGGCCAAAGGTTACACTCATATATTTGGTCTTGACTATGGGGATACTTTTTCTCCTGTTGCCAAGATGGCATCCGTCCGCCTATTTCTTGCCCTTGCTGCTATTCGTCACTGGCCACTCCTTCAACTTGACATCAAAAATGCCTTTCTTCATGGTGATTTGCAAGAAGAAGTTTACATGGAGCAACCACCTGGTTTTGTTGCTCAGGGGGAGTCTGGAGAAGTGTGTCGTCTTCAAAAATCCTTATATGGTTTCAAGCAGTCTCCTCGAGCATGGTTCAGTCGCTTCAGTTCTGCCGTTCAGGCGTTTGGCTTAATCCGCAGTAAAGTTGATCATTCTAGGATTACATCTCCTGACAAGTGCATCTATTTGTTAGTCTATGTTGATGACATCATTCTCACCGGAAGTGATCAAGACGGAATTCGTCAGTTAAAACAACATTTATTCAGTGCATTTTAAACAAAGAACCTTGGGAAGCTGCGTTACTTCTTGGGAATTGAGGTGGCGCAATCTAGACAGGGCATTTCTATTTGTCAAAGGAAGTATGCCTTGGATATCCTCGAAGAAACTGGTATGTTGGGGAGTAAACCAGTTGATACACCCATGGATCCTAATGTCAAGTTATTGCCCGGACAGGGGGAGCCGTTATCTGATCCTAGACGTTATCGGAGGCTAATTGGAAAGCTCAATTATCTTACTGTGACTAGGCCAGATATTTCTTTCGCTGTTAGTACGGCTAGTCAGTTCCTTGATTCCCCTTGTGATTCACATTGGGATGCTGCTGTGAGAATCCTCCGATACATCAAAGGAGCACCAGGAAAAGGTTTGTTGTATTCAGATCAGGGAAATACAGAAATTTGTGGTTATTCAGATGCTGATTGGGCAGGATCACCCTCGGACAGGCGCTCTACTTCCGGCTATTGTGTCTTCTTTGGAGGAAACTTAATTTCGTGGAAGAGCAAGAAACAACCTGTAGTTGCTCGGTCTAGTGCAGAAGCTGAGTATCGTGCAATGGCAAATATTACCTGTGAGTTAATCTGGTTAAAGCAGTTGATTCAGGAACTTCATCTTTGTGAACAGAAACAACCCATGACACTCATCTGTGATAATCAAGTTGCGCTACATATATCCTCTAATCCTGTCTTTCATGAGAGGACCAAACATATAGAGATTGATTGTCACTTCATTCGAGAAAAGATTCAATCAGGAGAAATCAAGACTGCTTTCGTCAACTCCTCTGATCAACTCGCGGATGTCTTCACTAAAGCTCTTAGAGGTCCTCGAGTTCAATCCATTTGTAACAAGCTTGGTGCTCACAATATATACGCACCAGCTTGAGGGGGAGTGTTAGATATGATTAGTCTGATTAGATATGATTAGTCTGATTAGATATGATTAGTCTGTAATTATTCTGATTATATTTTGATTGTATTAGGTCTGGGCCTTTCCTATAAGCCCATTACAGTCTCTATATATTGTAACTCTCTGAATTAGATCAATACACAACATATTATTTTATATTCAAGTGCTTATATTAGTCAAGGATTCTCCAGCAAAGCTAAAGCTAAGTCTGTTTACGAGAAAGAATTAATGGCTATAGTCTTTGTAGTGCAAAAATGGAGACATTACTTGATGGGAAGACATTTTATCATCAAGACAGACCATCGTAGCCTCAGATTCCTTACGGAACAACAGGTTTTAAGTGAAAACCAGCAAAAATGGATCTCCAAATTACTTGGGTTTGACTTTGAGATGCAATACCAGCCACGAAAGGACAATGAGGTTGTGGATGCTCTGTCAAGGAAATTGATTTTTACAGCATTGTCTCGGATCCATTGGTCTGCTTTTGATGAACTGGAGTCTGAAATTCAGCAAGATGATAGGCTTAAAGGGATCCTACACGACTTGTTGATAGCCCCTGATACTCATCTGGGTTTTAAGGTGTGCGAAGGGAAGCTGTTCTACAATGACTGGTTGGTTTTACCCAAGACTTCAAAATTTATTTCCCCTTTGTTAGAAGAATATCACAATACTGGTATTGGAGGACATTCTGGGTACTTCTGTACTTATAAAAGGCTGGCTAGGGTAGTGTATTGGGAAGGCATGAAGAAAGACATCAAAGATTATGTGGCTGGCTATGATGTTTGTCAATAGTGTAAGGCCCAAAATTTAAGTCCAGATGGGCTTCTCCAGCCTTTGCCCATTCATTCTAAAGTCTAGGAGGATATTTCGTTAGATTTTATTGGTGGATTGCCCAAAGCATTGGGAGTTGATACTGTCTTGGTCGTTGTAGACCATTTTACGGAATACGCCCATTTCCTTCCCTTGAAACATCAAAAGACGTTGCTGATTTATTTGTTAAAGAGGTAGCCCCGCCTCCATGCTTTCCCTGCAACTATTGTGTCTGACAGAGATAACACTCAAGATTAAAGAATAATTGTATATTGAATAATCACATGGTGTATTACAATGTACAAGAGCTCTCTATTTAAAGAGACTAAAAGACCTAATAGGTTGAGCTCATACGATGTGGGACTATATATATACTGAACTATTTTTACAACTATTCTAACACTCCCCCTCAAGCTGGAGCATATATTGTAAGCACCCAGCTTGCCACAAATATATTCAACCCGAGGAACCCTAAGAGCTTTAGTGAAGATATCCGCGAGTTGATCATTGGAGTTGACAAATTCCGTTTTGATTTCTCCTGACTGAATCTTTTCTCGAATGAAATGACAATCGATCTCTATATGTTTGGTTCTCTCATGAAATACAGGATTAGAGGATATATGTAGTGCAGCTTGATTGTCACAAATGAGAGTCATGGGTTTCTTCTGTTCACAAAGATGGAGCTCCCGAATCAACTGCTTTAACCAGATTAGCTCGCAGGTAGCAACTCCCATTGCACGATACTCGGCCTCTGCACTAGATCGGGCAACAACAGTTTGTTTCTTACTTTTCCAAGAAATCAGGTTTCCTCCAAAGAAAACACAATAGCCTGAAGTAGAGCGCCTATCCGAGGGTGATCCTGCCCAATCGGCATCTGAATAACCACAAATTTCTGTATTTCCCTGATCTGATACCAACTCAAGATTAAAGAATAATTGTATATTGAATAATCACATGGTGTATTACAATGTACAAGAGCTCTCTATTTAAAGAGACTAAAAGACCTAATAGGTTGAGCTCATACGATGTGGGACTATATATATACTGAACTATTTTTACAACTATTCTAACAATAACGTTTTTTTGAGTAATTTCAGGTCAGAGATATTCAAGAGTGCAGACACAAAATTGCATTACAGCACTGCATACTACCCGCAAACCAACGATCAGACAGAAGTCGTGAACAGATGTTTAGAAGCTTATTTACGTAGTTTCTACTGTACCAAGCCCAAACAATGACCTAAATGGGTATCCTTGGCTGAATTCTGGTACAACATGATGTTTAAAGATACTACAGGCATGACTCCTTTTAAGAGGTTGCATGGGAAGGACCTTCCTACTTTATTTAAATGTGGCACTTTTATTCCAGATGTGGACGCTGTGTCGCAAGCTTTGATGGAACGGGACATGATTTTACAGGACTTGCAGCAACACTTGCTCAAAGCACATACAAGAATGAAGCATTATGCAGATCAGCAACGTAGAGACCTTCAATACTGGGAGTGAATGGGTGTATCTCAAAATACAGCCTTATCGTCTTAAAACACTTGCCAAGAAGATCAACGAAAAGTTGAGTCCCTGTTTTTATGGGCCATATCAGGTACTGGACCTTCATTTGCAAGGGATTGTAAGGTTCATCCCGCGTTCCATGTGAGCCTCCTTAAAAAAGCTATCAAGACTGGGACTGCTGTTCAGCCTCTGCCCATGTTGACGGAAGATTGGGAGTTAGTGGTGGACGTTAGGCATTCCATACAGGGTGCCCTTCAGGTGTTAATCAAATGGAGTCAGTTACCCAATTTTGAAAATACGAGGAGTTTGACATCATCAATTTGCAATTTCCACATTTTAAATTGGGGGGGGGGAGTATTGATACAATCCCAATCAAGAAATATAAGAGGGATGAAAATAGGAAGGTGTGGACTCAAGCCCAAACAGTTCAAGTGAATACACTCCAGGTGAATAGCACACAAGTTCTGCCATGTGAGATAGGGGGTTCCCAAAATGCCCCCCAACAGAATAGTGTGCACAGGGAGGTGACTTGGAGGTAGTTATAAGCAGAGGGATGGGAGCATGGAGAGGCATCTGGAATCTTAGTGGAATTGCTTGGACCCTTTGGGAATTGGGAGAGAGTGAAGCTTCTCATATGTGCTTCACACTATCTTTTTCTTTTCTTGCTTGTTAATTCTCAGTTCACTGTAATTCCCTTAATTTTCTGCAAATGGTCTCTGTAGGTTGTTTTGTTCAGTGTCTCTGTAATTGTCCTTGATCAATATATAAGAAACTAAGGTTATTCAGACCAAATCTCTTGTTTCTGTTCTTATTTTAATAATCTGAGTAGAAGGTCCGTAAAACCTTCCTTTCCCCCACCTTTCTGTCCTTTTATCCTTGTTTCTTACAGTTTCCCCTTCCAAACTACCCTCCTTGCAACATAGGCAAGGTTGTCACAACCCAAATTCCTCCTGTCCCATACTAGTATCTCCCACGTAGCCTAGCAAAGGAGTGCGTAACAGTTTCTTTAAAGCTAATAAATTCCCATAGAACTTAAGCATTCTTTTATAATCAATATATTCACATAAAGCAAATTGCATCCTCACAAAATTAAAATTGATGTACCTGAGCAAATGAGTAGAGTCTCCAGACATAGTAGGTATGTTCCTTCGAGCCAAGAACAAACAAGAAATTGAAAAGAGGATTGCCACGACCCCTCTCCATAATAGCTTGTTCAAAAGCACATCCTCCATCCAGGACATATAAAGCCATTGTATCAATTACATGCCTTAGATGGTCATCCTCAGGAGGTGTAACCATTATATCAGGAACATTAGGAGTAAGAACCTAGCAAAAAATTACAGCAGGAACATTAGGAGTAAGTGTAAACTTCAAGTATTTCTATCATCTGGTATTTTTTGTGTTTTGATAAAATTTCTACCACCTAGTATAGAAAGGATATTATCAATAAATAAACAAAAAATGCAATAATGATGGTTTATATGAAAAATAGATAAAAATGTACATGTTTCCAGAAAAGTAATTGCATTGAAGACTGATATGGAAATAGTAAAGGTTTACTCTAAAAAGCGTTCTAGAGGAACAATTGGTAATGCTGACACAGCAGTGAATATTCTAGAAGATGTGATGGACGGCAATTCTGTTAGAGTTGTTGGAAGAGAGAGGGAAGGGATTTATGACACGGCAAGAGGTTGAGGTGGTTATTTGAGCCAGGTACCAGAGCAAAGGGCATCCAGATTGGAAGTGGAACCTGGAATTGGGAAAGAAGCAACACCTCTTCAATGTGTTGAGCTGTATCGTTTTTTCCTTACTGTATTGGTAGCTGATAGGGGAATTTTCCATTGTAATGGAGTTGATTTCTCTATTGTAGTTTCATTACTGTTTGCATTGTAATTTTCAGTTTCCTAATATACAGAAAATTCCAGAAAGTGTTCCTTCTGGGTCAAAAATCCAATGGTCTTTGTTATCTTTTTTCTTTTTCTGGTCCAGTTGTATCAAAGACACATAAAATTCTTGTTTCACATAAAATTACATTTTTAATAATGACTTCTGGTCTCATCACCGCATGACATCAGATGACACCAGAAGAAAGTAATGGTATAAGGAAATTATGACAATCGAAAACTGAGAATTTACCAGTTCAGAGTTCTGATTAGGCACAGATGTTACTGGCGGACCTGATGGGCCAGACAAAATCACAGTATTACCCTGCAAATAAAAAAGAGTAAAACATTATTTACATTAAATGAAAAAGTGTAGCCTGGTGCAATAAAGCTCCTGCATACCCAGGGTCAAGGGAAAGGTTGGACCCAATATTAGGGTCTATAATAGGTAGGCTTGCCTTGTATTTGCAAGATACTCATCTTTACATTTAATATGTTAAAAAGATATAACATAAAGATAGTCATCCTTTCCAATATTTTATCATCACACAAGGGGGGAAAAGTAGAAACACTTAGTACATGGCATGGGTAAGTTCTTTGTCTACTGTTTTTGTTTCTTTAGGTGTAGATAGAGAGAGAGGAAGAAGGGGGGGGGGGGGGGGGACCTTTTATTTCAGGAATTATTTTGGATGAATAATTAGAACAAGGGAACACATTACCACTTGGAGTGGTTACTCATTTTGAATTTAATAACCGCCCAATAGTTCTTTAAATGTAACTTTTTTTTAAAACAAGATAACAGTAATACCTCCTTATTCCTAATGGCCATATGCCCTGGAGGAGGTGCAGGTAGTGCTTGCGATGGGAGGGCAACAGACTTTCCCCATCCAATTTTCAATTCATACTCATAAACCACAACTCCTGCACAAATATTAGTCCTCAGTCATGTATTTACATATTTTTTCAAGCTTAAACTCAATGATTATACAGGCAAACAGAACACAGTTGAAAACTGCAAACATATAAAAATCAATCATTGACTCAACTCCAATCAAAATCAGAGCAATCATCCTTATCTTACATGTGTTCGCTAACCATGCTTCCATAAAAACAAAATAGAAATCAAATGATTGATACATTAATCAGATATCACATAACAGGTTACAGAGTGTCATAATCCAAAATATAGTGTGAATTTGGCATGAGAACTCCAGACAACTAGTACTTCAGACTAAATGCCAACCTAGGACAGGTTTTCCTAACTGATGACACCTTGCATGAACCCCAGGGAGGCACAGCGTTCGGGTATCTTACCTAGATGGCTGAGATTCTTTAGGCAACACCAAAGCAAACCAATATTTGCTGATCAAAACTAACTACAGCCTACTTTCTCCACATCCCCCGTTACAAGTAATGTTGTTAAAACGTAGAGTCTACGTAGAAACGATAGGAGTGAGCAGAAACGTTAAATCGTGAAACGTAAACGAAACATAAGAGTTTACTACATATAAAAAAATAATAATTTATATATATATATATATATATATATATATATATATATATATATCTAAATCAATATTAAATTTAATTAAAAACTTCAAATTATTAAGAATAATGTATTTAACAATTAATTTTTATTAATTATATAAAAAAAAAGGAAACTTCAAATGGCGCAGTGCATCTGGGTTTTTGTGTGACCGCAAAATCCCTCTTAAGTTAAAAGGAAAATTCTATAAAACGGCAGTAAGACCGGCAATGCTATATGGCGCGGAATGCTGGCCAGCACATAGGCAACATGAGCATAAGATGGGAGTCGCAGAGATGAGGATGTTAAGGTGGATGTGTGGTTACACAAGGATGGATAAGATAAGAAATGAAGATATTCGACGAAAGGTCGGAGTAGTACCAGTAGACGAGAAGATGAGAGAACATAGATTGAGGTGGTTTGGGCACGTGATGAGAAGGCCCCTGGATGCTCCTGTAAGAACAGAAGTTTGTTACCAAGAGCTCAACACAAAAAGAGGCAGAGGTAGGCCGAAACTTACTTGGGGGAAGGTGGTAAAATAAGATTTAATGGAGTGGGATATAGATTGACGGACGGTTTGTCTTAGAACGGAATGGAGAAAAGCTATAAATATGGTGGAGGGTTAGACCCGTTGTTATTCCTATGTTCCAGATGGTCCTTTTTTAGTCTTTTTCCCCTTCATCTCCCCCACTTCTTCTTGTCCCTTTCTTTTTTACTTTTATTTTATTTATATATACATATCTATATACATATATATTTTATTTTATTTTTATTTTATTTTATTTTTATTTTATTTTTTCAACTGTTTTGTATCTTTCATGTGGGTTCATCTACCACCGACCCCAATTAATTTGGGATAAAGGTGATGTTGATGTTGATGTTGATATAAAAAAATTAACCTCTTAATTCAAATAAAAAAATAGAAAAGGGAGAAAATAAAATTTTAAATTTAATTGAAAACAATTTAAATTTAAATAATAATAATAAAATATCAAGGGATACGATTTCAACTTTGTGTAAATTGATATATGAAAGGTCATCTCTGTCAGTTTCTATCTTTATGGCTCATTAATTAATAATATATTCTCTCTCTTACTCTCTTTTTTCCACGGTTGACGGTCCAATAGTAGTTGCCGCCTTTTGCATTTAGAATTGGACACTACAGTGTCTTTTCCTCTTCTCTTTCTCTCTCTCCCTCTCTCTTCTTTTTCTGGGTATTTTTGCAAAATATTCGAAGGGAAGGATTTGCAAGCAGAAGAGAAGGAGGAGGAGGAGATCTCGTGAGTTTCATAAGAGAGTGCAGAACCTTCTTCTTGACGCCTTTGCGGCTGCCGGAGGAGGACGAGGACGAGGAGGCTGCGCAGTCATGGTGGAGGAGAGATGTAAGCGGCGGAGACAAGCGCAACGTGAGACGACGACGACGACGATACCAAGAATCCCCTCATCCCCCTCATTTCTGAAATTTTTTTAATACTCGGTAAACTCGCTGAGTCAACCGAGTTTACCGAGTTGACTCGTCGTTTCAACCGAGTCAACTCAGTTTCCGTTTCTATCACCGTTTTAACACGATTTTGGAGGCAAAAACGTAAAAGCGTTTGTTTCTACCGAGTCAACTCGACGTTTTAACAACAATGATTACAAGTCAATGATACCAACATCTCTTTCCACAGCACATATTGTAGTACAATAGGATGATAGCATCTCTAATCCCAGAACTGCATAAAAAATGAACCAAAAAGCTCTGCAAGTCATTATCTCTCTTAGAAAGGTATCAACCACATCTTCATCCTCATCAATTTAATCAATAATAAAATATCAAAATATATCCAAAGTTCTATATTGTTGAGCCTATACAGCTCCCCCTGTCCCTATCCAGTGAGTGAATATAACACGATTCAGAAACAATAACCTTGTTGATATTCAGCTCTATTAAAGTCAACATAATCAACCTAGTTGTCTGCCACTTTCTTATGCACTTCTCTATGAAGCTATGTTCAGCCTAGCTGTCAGTTTTTTGCATTTATTATTGTGTTAGTTGTTAGTTGGTAGGTTAGTTGTTAGTAGCATTAACTCTGTTAGTTGTTAGTTGCAGATTAGTTGTTATTGTATTTAATGTTCATCTTGTATAAATATTCTGGTGTAGAGCTGATTATGTTCAATGAAAAATACAGCCTTTTGCATGTGTTATCTCTCTCTTTTTCCTAAGTTCTTGTTCTAATATTTCTTCAAGGTATTAGAGCTCTCCTCTTTAGGGCCTGATCACCATCCCTATCCCATGTCCACACTATATTTTGGCTCCATGAGAGCCCTTCAAACCAATGTTGATGGTGAAACTTCATACCCCAACAATGAAACACTAAACCCAACAACCCCATCTCCTATCTCAAATGAAAGTCCATCTCTTATCATCACTGGACATTGATTCAATGGAGAAAACTACTTATTGTGGTCTCAAAGTGTTCTCATGCACCTCAAAGGAAGAGGAAAGGTTGGGTATCTCACCGTTGTCATAAAAGAACCCAATGAGGACGATCCAAAACATTAGCAATGGGACTTAGAAAAAACCCTCATTATGTCATGGCTCATTAATTCCATGACTGCTGAAATGGGAGAAAACTACATTATGTGCAAGTCTGCCAAACAAATTTGGGATGGAGTCAAGGCTGGTTACTCCAAGAAGGATAACACAACAGCTCTATTTCAAGTTAAAAGGGTTCTAATAGACCTGAAAAAGGTGAGTTATAAATATTACCCAATATTATAATACTCTAATGCGTAATTGGCAGTGGGGGTGCACTGGATGTTCAGAAACGTTCCGCAAGTATGTGGAGAGGGAGCGTATCTACCACTTCCTTCTTGGTTTCAACCCTTCGTTTGATGGTGCTCGTGGCCGTATCATGGCTACTCGCCCCTTACCCTCATTAACGGAGGTGTTCTCCGAAATTAGGTGGGAAGAAAGCCGTCAACAACTGGTTCAGCCCCATCAACATAATAATTCAGGTATGGAAGCTAATGCTCTTATGGCAGGGAAAATGTTCTTCACTAATGGAAAACCCAGGCACAACGGGAGACTGTGGTGTGATCATTGTAACAAACTTGGTCACACCAAAGAAGTATGCTGAAAGTTCCATGAGAAACCCACCAAAGAAAAAACCGTCACCTTTTAGAAATTGGGCGTACTCTTCTCTTCACCTCCAATACTCTCAAACATTTTTGGGGTGAAGTCATTCTTACCACTGCCTACCTCATTAACCGCATGTCTTCCCGGATATTAAATTTCAAGTCTCCAATCCAACAAATCCTTCTCACTTACCCTCATTTTCCAATAAATTCTCTTCCTCCTAAGGTCTTTGGTTGCACTGTCTTTGTCCATAACACTCATGGTGGGAAACTTGAACCTTGGACCATTAAGTGCATTTTCATAGGCTATTCCCCTACACAAAAGGGATACAAGTGTTATGCCCCTCTTACCAAGAAAACCTATGTCAACATGGATGTTACGATTCTTGAAGACCAGTTCTATTATCACCAATTGCCAATTCAGGGGGAGAGTGATCCAAGATAGCCAAATGAATGTCCAATTGTTTCTTCCACATAAGACCAAAGCACCCTAAACTCCTTCATACCTGAGCCAATCTTCCCAGCTACTCTACCTGAAGCTAACCCCATTACGCATCCCGAGACTGACATTCTTATCACTCATGACCAAGAAGAACCAAGAACCATTGATGCAACCAGAGAGGAAACCTATGAAGAGCAAACAATCAGTCAACCAAACAACCCTCCTCCTAGACAAAGCCAATCTGAGTCTCCTACACCAAATCTTGAAGATGACTTGCACTGGCCTATTGCTCTCCAAAAAGGGGTAAGAACTTGAACTAGACATCCCATTAGTAAATTATGTTTCATATAAAAATTGTCTTCTCAGATGCAAGCCTTTGTGATCAATGTTGCTCTTGAGATAATTCCAAACAACTTCCAAGAAGCCATCAAATGTTCTGAATGGAGGAATGCAATTAAGGAAGAGTTGATAGCCCTGAACAAGAACAATACTTGGGACTTGGTTGACCTACCAGTTTTAAAGTCAATTGTTGGTTGTATATGGATGGATATTTACTGTAAAATATAACTCTGATGGTAGTGTTAATAGGTATAAAGTCAGGTTGGTTGCTAAAAGCTTCACACAAACTCATGGCATTGACTATCAAGAAACCTTTGCTCCTGTAGCAAAATTCAACACCATTAAAGTTCTCCTGTCAATCGCGATAAATTCAAATTGGCCTCTATACCGGATGGAAGTAAAAAAGGCTTTTTAAATCGCGGTAAATTCAAACTCAAGGAGTTGATACAAAAGGAAATCCTAACAAAGTGTGTAAACTCCGCAAGTCATTATATGGCCTAAAACAGTCCCCAAGGGCATGGTTTGAAAAGTTTACCATAATTGTAAAGGGCCAAGGGTACTATAAATGCCAAACTAATCACCCCAAATGACCTGGTAACCATCTTGATTGTGTATGTTGATGATATAGTTATCACATGTAATTATCATGAGAAAATAGAAAGGCTGAAATTATCCCTTGCAAAGGAATTTGAGGTTGATCTTGGCCAACTCATATTTCTTGTTGGGTATGGAAGTTGTAAGGAAACAAAATGGCATCTCGGTAACTCAAAGAAAGTATACTCTTGACCTTCTAAAAAAGACAGGTATGTTGGGGTGTAAGTCTGCTGAAACACCTATGGAAGCCAATTACAAGATGGGACTGGCTCAAGAAAGTCCTCCAGTAAATATCAACGGGCACCAAAGATTGGTCGGAAAGCTCATCTATCTAACCAATACTCGGCCTGACATTTGCTTCCCTATTAGTGTGGTTAGTCAGTTCATGAACAAACCAACAGAAGAGCACTTGGAAGCTATGCACAGAATTCTGAGGTACTTGAAAAAATGCCGGGAAAGGGTCTATACTTCTCCAAAAATTGCAATAGGGATATTGAGGTTTATTCCGATGCAGATTGGGTTGGATCAGTGATTTATAGAAGATCCACCACCGGCTATTGCACCTTTGTATGGGGAAACTTGGTAACATGGAGGAGCAAGAAGCAACCTGTTGTTGCAAGGAGTATCCGAAGCTGAATCTAGAGCTCTTGCACTTGGAATTTGTGAAGGAATGTGGATACTAAGATTACTGAAGGAATTAAAACTCTGTCACAACTAACCTATGCAAATCTTCTGTGACAACATGGCAACTATTGGCATAGTAAAAAATCCAATTCATCATAATAGGACTAAGCATGTGAAGATTGATAGACATTTTATCAAGGAAAAAATAGAAGCAGAAATCATTGCCTTACATCATGTGTCCTCCAATTCTCAAGTGGCCGATGTCCTAACCAAAGCAACTACCAAGAGTCAAGTTTGAGGAGCTAAGTAGCAAGCTAGGCAAGATCAACATTACAGCCCAGCTTGAGGGGGAGTGTTGATATTCAGCTCTCTTAAAGTCAACATAATCAGCCTAGTTGTATGCCACTTTCTTATGCACTTCTCTAGGAAGCTATGTTCAGCCTAGCTGTCAGTTTTTTGCATTTATTATTGTGTTAGTTGTTAGTTGGCAGGTTAGTTGTTAATAGCATTAACTCTGTTAGTTGTTAGTTGACAGATTAGTTGTTATTGTATTTAATGCTTATCTTGTATAAATATTCTAGTGTAGAGCTGAATATGTTCAATAAAAAATACAGCCTTTTGTGTGTGCTATCTCTCTCTTTTTCCTAACTTCTTGTTCTAATATTTCTTCAAACCTCGTAGCTGATTGTAAGTTACATGTTCTGCATAAGACTATGCAGAATAGTGGCCAGATGAAAAAACATAAAATGTTGATACTTGACAACTTATATAGAAGTTATCATTTGAAGAGAAGCAACTTAGATATAGATTACACGGCTACATGGAAGCATACCAGCAACAATATACTGAAAAGAGAAAAATAAAAATAAAAAGAAGCTATATCTTCCGTAGTTATCTTTTGAATCCAGACAAAAGGACCATACCTTGCATTTCATCTTTTGCAGCCTGTCCATCAGTTCTGTTCATGAAAGCTACAAAGCCACAGTTTCTTTGCCGCCTTCGCTCCTCCTCTGTCCTAGGCCACATTATTTTTACGCTAGCAATAGGTCCAAATCTTCCAAAAGTACGGAGAAGAAAATTTTCATCAACCTATATTATAAATTGTCAAGATGAGACTAGCATGTCCTTAACTCCCAAAGAACAACAAAGCCAATTTATTGAGGAGACAGTCAAACCTTGGGTGAGAGATTTCCAACATAAAGATTTGTAGTTTGTGGATCACCATCATCAAATGATCCAGGAAGTTTTCCACTAGGATCAAAATCATCAGGTAGCTCGTCAAAGCGACTGGACTGTTGGTAAGGAAAACAACTATCAGTAGAACTGATTCATAAAATTATTGAATGCAAGAAATAAAATGAAATCCTAACAACATGCATATAGTGATAATTATTTGGACAATGTAGATCATGAAATACATCAGGTCATATCCGTAATACAAAAAAATCAAAGCATAAAAAGCAGATAAAAATGAGATTATACAAATGAAGAGAAATCTAAAAGCAATAAGCAGCTCCTATGCATTTAAAGATAAAAAAAAAAAAAAAAAACCACTCCTCATTAAACCCGACTAGCGAATGTGGGTGGAGGAAATCCTTGTACGCAGCCTTACTCTTGTATAATTGCAAAGAGGCTGTTTTCTGGATTCGAACTCATGACCTTTCAGTCATTTAAAAATAGAGGGACAAAAATCCAACCACAAGAACCTACATGTAGCATGTTGACAGGTAAGAAAAAAAGCATCCCTTACAGTAGAATGTTCTCCAGGACGCCCATCACGCCACTGATCACGGTCTTGATTTCGCCTCTCCCTCATCTCTTGCTCATGCTTTAGCTCCTCCATAAAATGATCAATATTCCTTGACTTTCCTTTCTCCTTCTCCTTTGGCTTTTCCTCCTCCTTCTGCAAAGTACAACACACAAGCATTAGATCTGGATACATGATAATTTGAAAACAAAATTAGAGGTCAAAGATTCAATTGCAATACAGACTTTCCTTTCAGATTCTTTCCCCTTGGTTGCCAACGGAGGTGGTATAAAAGATGGTACGTACCTGCAAAGAATATAAATGATGAACTTCGATACTAATTTACTAAAACAACGTTTGACTAAATAAAAGTGCAAGGTTTATTAGATTTAGCATTTTCAAAACTTTGCCTCGAACTTCGTTTTTAATAGCTAATTTGTAACTTCAGGAATTGCCACTAGATAATCCAGCAAACTCCTCCACAAGACACTAAGTTCCCATCTCAAGTAATACTCACAGTCCCAAAGCTTAAGTAATATATTCAAAATACTGACACTGAACATATATTTGATTCCCAAGAGAATAAGCTCTTGAGGAAGCATAACGCCATAGGACCTTCCCAGAACCTACAGACAAGGAACCAAAGGCAATCCTCCTCTAACTCAAGAATGCAAACATTTCCCAGTATGAAGCAATGAGGCAAGAATATAAGAGTTATTTTTGTTTAACTGAACTTATTGCTTTTATTGCATAATTGATGGAATTTGGTATTATCAACATCAACACCACTTTTATCCCAAACTAATTGGGGTTAGTGGCTGATGAACTCAAATGATTAGTACGAATTGATGGAATTTTATAATTATACAAATTTCAAAACAAAATACATTTTATTTCCATGAAAGCATTATGTCTTTCGGTCAAATAAAGTCTGTATCGTAAGAACAAGTCATCTCACTCATCTAGTAAGTCATTCAGTAATGGAAAGTACTGAGCAGCAACATACATAACACTCTCCCCCACTCAAATCCTGATTGGAAAAGTCTCATCAAGCATGGTAGACAACTAAAAAAGTTGACAACCAAAATAAAACATCTCTATACAGCATGTACAATAATTATTGTAACAACTTAAGCAACATTTTTTCAAAAAAATATAAATTCATAAAGATGAAGATAAAAAACTACAAAGAAATGCAAGGATAAGGAACCCTCATTAACATAAGAACAAAAAAAAAAAAACACAGCAACAACAATAAAGAGAGAATTAATGGATAAAAGTTGTCCAATCTCTCCACATATATGTCACGGAAACCGCATTAAAAAGGCCATGTGCTACATAGAGTATAGAGTAAAAAGAAGCCAAGTGCCTAATCTCATCCGAAATCAAATGTTGTGCCTTAGAGACCTTAAAAACACAAGATCTGCACTCCAACCAACTGCACTGAAGGGTAGCATACGTTGCACACTACCACAAAAAATTAACCTCATTATTTCTACCAAAGCCATGAGTGGTTCGAAGACCTAGGGGACACACCCAACATTCACCAAAAAGGCCAATTAAGGAATTCCATAGAGAAACAGCACAAGGGAAGAGTAGGAACAAATGTAGAACTGATTATCAGCAGGCAACATGCATTGAAAAAGAGTCTTATATGAACCTGCAACATTTCATTGGTATTAATTCTATTAAGCACTGAAGTCCAAATACAAGACTTGACCTTACATGTGCCTTGGGATTTCCAAAGGGTTTATAAAGAAGGAAGTTGGCCCTATTCAAAGAATGAATACGGAATTGAAAAAAGAATTTGACTGAAAACACCCCAAAGGGTCAAAGAACCAAATTCTTTTGTCTGGGTTAGAAGACAAAAGAACAGAGTCAAGGAGACCCAAGCAGGGCTTCGGTTCAGAAAACTCCCTCACTTGAGTTACAGTTCCAAGAAGAAGCTGATCTTGACACTCAACATCAACAACACTTATATCTCAAATTAGTTGGAGTTGGCGGCAGATGAACTCAAATGACAAACAATAAAAGATTGAGAGGAAAAAAGAAAAAAGGAATAAAAAAATAAAGTAGAAATTAAAAATGACACCACAAATAAAATAAATATATATTAAAAATTAAAAAAGGAAAAATATAAAAAAATGGAATAAAAAAGGGAAAATATAGATAAAGACAAAAAAAAAAAAAACAATAAAAAAAATAAGAGAAAGAAAAAAAATGAGAGAGGAAAAAGTAGAGATTGTTAGAGAATAATATAAATCATTAAAAAGGCCGTCACCCAACACCTTAAAGATTTGGGTTGAATTGGGTTTTAATATGGTATAAGAGCTTCAATGACCAAGGTCACAAGTTCGATCTTCACCGCCCCCCACTTTCTAATGAAATTAAATAAGCACAAGGTAAACCAAAAATTAGACCTGCGTAATATCCACGCTTCAAGCCCAAACGGCTTTTGCGTGAAGGGGTGTATTAGAGAATAATATAAACCATTAAAAAATCCCTCACCCAACACCTTAAGGTTTTGGGTTGAATTGGTTCTTAATAAAGATAAAGAAAGAAGTAAATGAAATAAGGGGGAACACGATTAAAAAATGAGAGGTAAAGTAAGAAATAAAGGAAGATATAGGGTAAAATAACTAGAAAAGATCATTTGGAACATAGGAAGAAAAATGGGTTTAACCCTCCACAATATTGATAGCTTTCCTTAAATCCATTCTAAAACAGAACGTTCGCCAATCTTTATCTCATTCCAATAAGTCTTGTTTTACTACTTTCCTCCAAGAAAGTTTAGGCAACATTTTTCTCTTTTTGTGTCAAGCTCTTGGTAACAATCTTTTATTCTTACATGAACATCTAGGGTCTTCGCATTATGTGCCAAAACAACCTCAATTGATGTTGTCTTGTCTTTTCAATCACTGGTACTACTCCTACATTTCATTGTATATCTTCATTTATTTTCTTATCCATCCTTGTAGGACCACACATCCATCTTAACATTAACATTTTCGCTACTCCTATTTTATGTTCATGCCAACATTCAGCTCCATATAAGATTGCATGCCTTATAGTTGTTCTATATAACTTTCCTTTTAGCATAAGAGAAATCTTACAATCACACAAAAACCCTGATGCACTATGTCATTTCATCCACCCTGCTCTGATTCTATGGTTTATATTCTCATCAATCTCTCCACTCTTTTGCAAAATTAATCTCAGATATCTTAAAGCATCTTTCTCGAGTATCTCTTGTCTAAACAAATGCACGGAATCTTGATCTCCAACTCTTGCCGGAAAAAAACTCACTTCATATACCATTCTTACTACGACTTAGTGTAAATCCCTTAGACTCCAACGTGCTTTTCCACAATTTTAGTTTTTTGTTTACACCAGCCTTGGTCTCATCAATAAGCACAATATCATCTACAAAAAACATACATCATGGCACTTCATCTTGGAAATCTTTTGTTAGTTCATCCATAATTAGAGTAAAAAGGTAAGGACTCAAAGCAAAGACTTGGTGTACACCTACTATCATAGGAAAATAAATTGACGTTCTATTACAAGCCTTCACACATGTAGTAGCACCTATGTAGCACAGATATGCTAAAAAACATGAAGTGTTGGTGTCCGGTACTCCGACATGTTACAACACGCTCCACACGGTGTTTAACACGCAGTTAACATTCCCGACTCATTGACTATTTTGACACGCGAATTTGGATCTCTTATTCGCTATCTAGTCTCTACTCATTCTGTTGTCGTCGCTGCTCTATTGTCTGGACTCTTCGTCGCGTTCTTCACTGTCTGGTGTTTGCTCTGCTCTACCGACGGTTCCTGCTCCACTTCGCTGCCGTCACGATATCTTTCTTGCTGGTAAATGGTAAGTGCTCTCTCACTCTTACTATTGTGTATCCTCTATATCCCTTTTTCGGTGATGACCCATAAATCCATGTTTTTTTCTTCTATACTTGTGGTGTTCGATTTCCCCTATTAGATCATATCTGAAACCCCTTTTATTCTTTATTTTTTAAATAATTATTGTTATTTGGTTTTATTTACTTTTGCAAATCCTTTCTAAATTAAGGTCAGCTTAGTATCTCCTTGAAATTTGGGTGAAAATGATTTATTTTCTTTGAATCTTTTTGGGTTAAATTGATGGATATTATGATTTTAGTTTTATTTTTTTAAAATTATTGAATATTAAATGTAATATACACTGTATAAATTAAAAATATTATTTAATATTAAAACGTGTCGAGTAATCATATTTTTTTAAAATTAACTTGTTGGAGTGTCATATAGTGTTGTGTTGCGTGTCCGTGCTACATAGAGTAGCACCATCATACATATCCATGATTGTCTTTACAAACTTTGATGGTACTTTTTTCTTCTCAAAAACCCACCATACCTTTCTTAGAACCCTATCACATGCCTTCTCAAGATTTATAAACAACAAATGTAAGTCTTTTTCTCGATTCTTTCCATCAATTGTCATATAGAGAAAATAGCCTCCATGGTACATCGTCCTAGCATAAATTTGAATTGATTTACAGAGAATTTGGTCTCTCTTCTCAAGCGATGTTAAATCACTCTCTTCGACAACTTCATAGTATGGCACATGAGCTTAATGCCTCTATAATTAGAACAATTCTGAATGTCTCCCTTGTTTTTGTAAATAGGCACAAACATATTTTTCCTCAATATATAGGACATCTTATTAGTTTGGAGAATCTTATTGAAAAGATTCCTCAACCAACTTATTGCCACATCCTCCAAGCTTCTCCACACTTCCCAAAGCTTTAGTAGTTTTCAACTTCTTTAATGCCTCCTTGACTTCATGCACTTCGATTCTACGCACAAATCTTCTATTCAAATAATCAAAAACACTTATTTTAAGTAGAATCTTCACACTATAAGCGGGAAATCTACTGCCAATGGTCCTTCAAAAGTTGACTTGAGAACCAATACACACCTCAGGGAAGAAAAGACTGAAAGGTAGTATGAGCATAAAAGAAGAATTTCTTGGTCTATAAAATAAGAAGTTCAGGTTGCTTGTTGGCATTCCATATTACCACCAATTTTGACTAAACCATACATAATTTTGGATAAGCTAATGCCAAGGGGAAGGAGGTTCAAAAAGGGAAATGCCATAACCACTTATCCACGAGAACAATGTTCAAAGACACCACCAAGACCCAAATACCCCCCTTTCATGGGACAACATACCCCCCAACTCAATAAATGATGAAGCAGTCACAGATCATACACCCAGCCAAAGCAGAATATAGATCATCCATGGAAAT